GCCTGTTTGCTATTATCCATCTTTTGTTTTCTCTTTAATTCTTTATGCTTTGGGCTTCTCATGTAAGACAAACCATGTGGTATTTAAGCTGTGTGTCTAATTGAGTTCACTGAACAGGGCCTTACAGTGCTTCCCACAGATGACTCAAGTTTATCCTTCTTCATGGCATCCTTCTTGTGTGTACATCCCAGTTTCCTTATCCATTCGTCTGTCGATGGACAGACAGGCCACTTCCAAGATTTAGCGATTGTGAATTGTGCTGCTACAAACATGGATGTGCATGGATCACTGTAATGCGATGTCTTTAACTCTTTTGCGAACCCACTGGCTTCCCCAGCGCCCAGAGCTGGCAGAAGCGAGCTGGGAATCGGATCGGTGCAACTGGGCCTGACCGCTGAGCCACGGCCGTGGGGCCGGCAGCCTGGGCAACCTCTCTGGCCTACTCTGCCCGGCGCTGCCCGTGGGGCTCCGAGGCTGGAGCCTGACCCCGATGCCTCACCCCACTCTCGCGACGGATCTCACGCCTCTGCCACGTGACCGTGCGTGGTGCCCGGTGGGCGGGAGGGCGACACACAGGAACTCAACAGAGCGGACGCTGCGCTGGCCTCTGCACCTGCCCTGTCCCCTGGAAGCACCTCCCCAGCGGCCACTGCTTGTCCCCACGGAGGCAGCGCCTTCCCAGGTCCCGGAAGTTGCTGAGCACCGCGCAGCAGGGCCTGAACCCCATGCCCTGCAGGACACGGCATCCCCAAGCGCCCGGCTCCCGCACAGGAGGCCCCAGGAAAAGCAGCCTCGTTGCTGGAGAGCGCGATTGATCCCGAGCGGTGCGGACAGGAACTGCAACCCGGAGGGAACCAAGCAGGAACCCCAGGGCCCCAAAGCGCCCGGGTGACACCGGCCCTGCACTGCTTCAACCCAAGGCGCAGCCTCTCACGTGACAGGAGGCCGAGGCAGGCGGTTGGCTCAGCCGCTGAGGACGCCTTCAAGGACAACTCTCCGTCCCTCCGCACCACCCTCTGCTTTCCTAGCCTTAGCTTCACAGGATGACTGCTGTGGCTCCAAAACATCCGAGGAAAGAGGTCAAGCAGGAAAAGGGAACTCTTACTATCAGGAAGGTGTTAGGAGAAGCACCTCTTTATCTGTAGCCAGAAATGGGCCACATGGTCACCCCTGGACACAAGGGAGGATGAGAAAGTAGGTGTCTTGGGAGAAGAGGGGGACAGTGGTGAGTCTGGGACTGGTCACAGTTCAGCCCCCAGAGTTGGGCATGGTGCCCGATTGACTTAGAGACAGGGTCCTGCTCAAGCACTAAATTGCCCAGGCTAGGCTCAAACTCGGGATTCTCCTGCCTCAGCCTCCCAAGTGCTGGGATGGCAGGCGTGCACCACCACGCCAGGCTAGAAGCCACCTTGTTGCAAACAGCAGAATTCACGACTCTGGGAGCTCCGGGCATCAGGCTGGGAGGGCACGGGCCACACCCAGGCTGTCCCAGGAAAACCCAGAGGCCAGCACAGCCCCTGGGGAGGCGCCAGCACGCCGCGGCCACATGCACTGGGACTGGCAGAAGCTGGCAAGGGCTCGTCCCGCGCAGGGCCGGGGCGCCGAACTTGGGAGTCTCCGTCTGCGCATCTGGGAAATGGAGCCCACACCCCGGGCCCTAGAGCCTGGGGATCCCGCTTCCCGGGGACCGGAAGGCGCCCGTGAAGGGAGGAGGGAGCCGCGGGTCTCCCCCACTAACGTCGCTCCCGCGTTTTACCTTACATGGCTGGGGACTCTGCAGATGTAACTCATGGAACCAGCCAGCTCGCCTTAAAGCAGGGTCCCCCGGATTATCCCGGTGGCCCCAAGTAGGGAAGAAGGCAGAGCGCCTTGAGCTCCCAAAAGACCGAAGGATCGAGGGGCGTGGCGGCGCCCGCCTGTCTTCCCAGCACCGGGGAGGCTGAGTCAGGAGCATGGTGAGCGCGAGGCCGGCCTGGGCTACAGAGCAAGATCGAAGGCAGCCTGAGCTACCTAGTGAGACCCCGCCTCAATCGCAACCACTTCCGGGCCCTGGACCCGCTTCCCGCCCTGACTCCTCCGGCCCACGCTGAGCACGAGGTCAGCGTTGAAAAACGCAACCGCAAGCCCCCAGCGCAGCCTTCTCAGCGCCGGGTCTTGCGCACAGTCACTTCCGGGGCCTCGGAAGGCCCGGTGCCCCGCCCACCCGGCCGACGCCCCGCCCACCCGGCCCGGGCTCCGACAGCGCC